CATCAGGGACATGAGGCAACCCATCAGCTCTGCGTAAGGACCACTGGGCTCTACAGACTCCTCAGGAACTGAAGCAGAGAGCTTGTGGTCTACTGGCAGAGGTGTGGGCTGTGCAAAGGAGAACTGAAGACCAAACCTCTGAAGGACCTGTGCACCAAGTGTGACTGTGTGAGAGTGATGGTGCGCGCTGCTCTGTCCCTAGAGATCTGCAAGCCAAGGTAGCGGCGCAGCTCTCCTAGGTCAGTGTAGGTGTGTCTCCTCAGCATGTCAGCCTTCATGGAGGCCAGCGCGTCTCTGTCTGCAGTAGCAAAGACCAGGTCGTCTACGTAAACAAGGATGTAGAACGGAGTCTGGCCGGAACGGACGAAGAGCGAGGGGTCTGCAGACGACGGGAAGAACTGCAGGTCAGCTAGCGTAGCACACAACGAGTCATGCCACTCACGAGGCGCCTATCACAGGCCATAGACCAGGCGTTGGAGGAGCCACTGGGTCCCAGGAGGGAACGTATCGGTGAAGCCCTGTGGACGGCGCATGTAGACCTGCTCGAGGGAGTGTAGCTCGTAGTCACGCTGTGCTGCTACGTGTAGCAGCGCCCGAAGAGTAGTCATCTTTAGGGCTGGGGTGAAGGTGTGAAAGAAGTCCACACCCACGCCTTGAATACCGGCGGCTCTCGAGGGGGGCGCTTCACCTTGAAGAGCCACCGGCCTTCGAATACGTTCACCCCATGTGGGGGAACTGCGCCAGCATAGGTGACGGTGGATCTCCAAGATATCATCTCCTGCTCCATGGCAGCTATCCACTTAGAGGCCCAGGGCCCCGAGGTTGCCTCGGCATAAGTGCGAGGGGTCGGGATGTCAAGGGCGTCTGGGTCACCCTCAGGGACTAGCACCATGGAACAGTGATGGGGATCGGCCTCAGACAGGAAAGTGAGCTCGTTATGCCTGTCCTCTAGGACGTCACTGCCAAGGGCAGGAGCATCCTTGACAGACGGAGGGCAAGCAGGGCCAGAGCAGTGGCGTAGTCAAGGAGGTGGGTAGAGGCAAAGTCAGCGGCAGTAGCGGCAAGAACGTCAAGACTCGAGACAGGAACAGACGGGTCGGTAACGAGGGAGGCGAGGACCTGAGGTACAAGAGGACTAGCAGCACCGAGGAAGTCAGACACTGGAGGCGGAGCGACACCCAGTGACGACGGAGGAGGCGAAGGGAGGAGGGGAGGACGAGACGCGTGGGAACGGAACAATATAGGATGAGAGCGCTGGACAGGAGAGACAGGACGAGCACGAGAGGGACGGAGAGACCAGATGTGGGATGGAGGCATCGGGTCAGGAGACATAGGAGGAGACATAGGAGGAGAACGAGGGGGGAAAGGAGCCGGGGACGAGTCCGGCGAAGGAAACACATGGCCGTCTACAGACAGGGGAGGCGACGGCAGGGGAGGCGAAGGCGGGTGGTCATGGGAGGGAAGGCCGAGCAGGCGAAGGGCAGACACTGGTGGCGACTGGTGCTGCTGCTGCTCAACGCCAACACCAGAACCTCCTATTGCACCTCGGCTACCTCCAGAACACTCCACTCCAGCACCCCCAGAACGAGAACCCTCTCCGGCACCAGTGCCACCCCCGAGACCGCTGGGACAAGCCACGACAGTAACCCCAGAACTAGCACCCCCAGAACGAGAACCCCCTCCAGCACCAATGCCACCCCCCGGACCGCCGGGACGCGTCACCAGGAAACCCGGTCCAAAGAAGGGTCGGCGAAACCTGCGGCCGCTGGGAGTGTGGCCACAGGTTAAGCTGGTGAGTGGCTTAGCGAAGAGTGAACGGCCACAGAAAATGGGGAGCACCGGCATGGATCGTGGAGGTACGAGCCACCTCCATGACCAAACCGATGCGTCGCTCAGCAACCCCATTCTGCTGCGGGGAGTCCAGTAGGGTATACAAGTGGGTGATGCCCTCCGCACGACAGAACTGTCCAAGCCGACCGGAGGTGAACTTGCCGCCACAGTCGGAGTGGAGACACACCACAGAAAGTCCGCGGTGGAGGCGCGCATCTACGAGCCACGGGATAAGAACGTCATGCACGTCCACCTTCCGCTCCAGGGGAAACACCGTGGTGTAGCGCGTGTAATCGTTGACAAGCTCGAGAAAGTAGCACTCTCGATGCGGCCCAGGGACAAGGGCTAGGCCCTAGACGTCCAGGTGTAGGGTCTAGAGTGGCACGGTGGCAGGGCGAAGCGAGGAAGAATTAGGGGCACGGCGCAGCCGGCCCTCGACACAGGGAGTGCACGACGGTGCATGCGAGGGAGGGAGGGTAGGGAGCAACGAAGGGAGACCTAGGATGAGACCATACAGAGACTTGTAATGCAGACGCGGGAGTGCGGGATGACATAGGCGGTGGTTCCACAGAAGCGACGGGTGAGTGAGCAACCGACACGAGCGAGCCGCAACGACCTGGGTAGACACAGGACCCGGGGAGGACGTGCCCACCGAGGGGGAAGCAATGTTTTGCGTAAATAGACCAGAGACCGAGTCCCGGGGGAACGTCGCAAGGGGGGCACCTAAGGTGGCCTCGGTACAGGCAGCGTACCGCTCGTGACCAGGGAACGTAGTGGTGACGCCGAGGTCTTGAAGAACGAAGGGATGTGCAGCCTGTAAGAGAACCCGAGGGAACTGTTGGACTGGGAAGGGTAGTGTAGCTATGGGCAACAACAGGACTGGACGTGGGGTCAGCAAGTGCGACAGCGGCAGGCACTACAAGCGGCATCAGCGTGGCATGGTCGCGGAAGAAGTAGGCAGACGCACCATAGTCATGCGTAAAGGACAGCGAAGGGGAAGCTGCGGCCAGTGGAGGAGCGAGCGTGGAGCCTAGACTAGACAAGGCAGAAGGTCCTACGCCTGACACAGCAGGGGAGTCTGTACTACACACAGGTACCGGACTTAAACTAGGTAACACAGGGTAATAAGATCCGAGCACACTAGAAGCATCAGCAGACAGAGAATTCTGGGCAAAACACATCTGATCCATATCTAACCCAAAGGCAGGCACACCGTGGTGCAGCAAACTGGCCCATTCAGGGAGGTCCGGCGCCGGGCCGAAGCGGCGACGAAAGAGGTCGGGTGTGGGCGATGACACACAGTGCCGCGGAGGGGTCCATTTTGGAGCTGGTACTGGCAGCCCCCAGCACCGAAGCTGCCGGCCGACGCCGAGCTGCGAGGGCCGCCAACGCGGCCACCACCGCTAGAGGCTTTTGGCCACCCCAGCGGGATGCGGGCCCACGACACCTGCTGCTGTTGCTGCGTCGGCCGCTGCTGTGGCATCTGCTGCTGCTGCTGCTCCTGGGCATCAGCGTCGGTCCCCTCATTGGACCCAGAGTCCCCGCCGCCACCACCACCACCTCCACCACACCCACCACCCCCGCCACCACGCCCCCCTTTGGGGCCCCGATGGCCCCGACGCTGGCGCGGCTTCGTGGAGGCCTTAGCTGCGGTCTCGGCGACAGGGTCTGTCGCAGCGATAGTAGCTGAAACGTTAGCATACGTGCACCGGGAGGGCGCACAACCCTGAAAGCTAGGGACTGCCGCAGCACTGCTCGACTGAGCGATAGTGCGCTGGCGAGTCTGTATCTCAGACAGGGCGGTGACAAAGGCGATAAGGGTGAGGTCACCTGGGTGCTGACTAAGGAAGTGGTCGCGGGCATTGGCTAAGCAGTCCGTAAGGCGAATGGCAATGAGGTACAGGGCAGCGCAGAATGGCGAGGGGATGGC